TTGAAGTAACGGTTTAGCAATGAAAACATTTTTATTTACCAAAAAAATAATAGAAAAATAATTTATGCAATTTTGGGTTATGCAATTTGACTAAACATTGAATCATTATAATTATTTATATAAAAATATTGTAATAACTTTTTGTAGATTTACGTTTGTTTCAATGCAATTATAACTACATTAAAACAATTCACGCTTCAAAAGTTGTAATATTGCGTTATTAATTATGTAATCGAATGTTCTTAACATTATGTCCTAATGCTAAATACACAAAATTGTTAGAAATTTGATTAAATTTCTTGAAACAAACTAAGATATTATTAAAAGTTTATAAAAACATTTTTAAGAATGTACTATACTGTTAAAAGTAGAAAATACTAGTATACAAGCCGTTTACTAGTTTAAATTAAGTATATTCTGCCATCTGTAGTAGAAAAAATATACTAATTTTTAAAATACACTAAATAGTTTTATTAATGAAAATTTTTATGAATATTAGAAATGTTTTCATGAATTAATAGCATTTTCAATAAATGTTTATTTATTGACGAAAAGACCGGTTTTTACGAGTTTGGAATTTTAAAATTGAATTTATTGCCGTTAGAGGCGCATTCGTTCATTCTTTTCTAGAGCCCTCAATAAACACATAGGGCTCTAGGAAGTGGTCGCTTTTTAGTAATAGGTTCGCTCTTTATCTGACAAATTCGGATAATTAAGTGTTTATTTTAAATCAGATTTTAGATCATTTCGAAATTATATTCTTTNTGAAAATTTAAATCTAATTTGAATTTAAAGTAGGTACTATTTAGTTTGCGTAACTTCACTTAACCTGGCTGAATACAGCAGCAACCTTCTTGGCCCCCGAAATGTTTGGTGAAGAAAATATGGCCCGCGGGCTATGATAAGTTGGACAGCGCTGCTCTATTGTATTACGGTCTCGAAAACGAATTGTTTTCGAGATTTCCGTAGCCTGAAAGATTTCTAGTCTTCCAGGAATCTTTAAGCTACGAGTGAAAAAACACATAACATCCGTCTTTTAAATGCATTAAAGACGATTCCATCCACATGAATTGAATCGGAAAGGGCATTTTTGGTAAATAAGAACCAGATCGAGTGATTACAGTATTGACCATCTTTGCTTTTAAAAATCTTAATACACAATATTATTGTAAATTTTTATAATATGTTTTATTTAAATATTGAACTTGAAATATTGAATTGCCTTCTAACTTAGAAGTTTGATCTAAGTTCATTTTATTCTTTAAATTTTTAAAATATATAAGATGGTGCAAAAGTAGGCATACATTTGTGTGATACGGATATTTGATGTTCCTTGTTGATTATCTTTCTGGTGTAAATGTTTAAAATATCATTAAAAAAAAAAACAAAGATAAAATTGCTACAGCTTGAAGGCTACATGCAACAAACGTAAAATTTGCATAAATGGTACAACATGAGAGTAGATCTGTACCTCAAGATTACTGTCAATTTCATCGTGTCTTTCCTTCGTTTTATTACAGTACAATAACCGGTGTGTATTATACCAATGACAATTACGAAAAAACTTTTACTTTCAAAGTTTCCCGATAGGGAAAATATGTCGCCGAACAAGACGATAGTCTTTGAAAGTTCAGAAGAGTATTTTTTTTAAGTAATTGAAGCAGAAGTGGGAGCCATTTTAATATTATTTTTGTTAAATTTTTGCGTGTTTTAGCTGGCAACACTGGCTCGACCATGAAAGGGAGACCAGTATTTAAACGAGACTTAATTTTCTAATTACGAGTGGTTGCTTGTTTTGTGAGCAATAAAATAATTTAAAAATAATTTTTAACGATACAATAGCGACGATTATTATTATTATTTTTAATTTTGTTATGCTTAACATCGATGAAAATTCAACGCGAAGTAGGTTAATAGCGATATACTAATAAACTAATTACATGGGATATACTAATATACTATACTAATAATGTATTTTTTTCATTCTTTTCGGTTATCCGATTTTTTCAGTTATCCGACCACCCGAGTCCCCAATTGAGTCGGATAATCGATGCTCTACTGCGGGGCTGTCCAACAGGCGGCCCGCGGGCCGTATACGGCCCGCCAAATAATTTTTACGGCCCCCGAGTACATTTTACTATGAATAAATTTATGTTACTAAATTATTATTATTAATATTAAAATTATTTTACTATGTGAAAATTTAAATCTAATTTGAATTTAAAGTAGGTACTATTTAGTTTGCGTAACTTCACTTAACCTGGCTGAATACAGCAGCAACCTTCTTGGCCCCCGAAATGTTTGGTGAAGAAAATATGGCCCGCGGGCTATGATAAGTTGGACAGCGCTGCTCTATTGTATTACGGTCTCGAAAACGAATTGTTTTCGAGATTTCCGTAGCCTGAAAGATTTCTAGTCTTCCAGGAATCTTTAAGCTACGAGTGAAAAAACACATAACATCCGTCTTTTAAATGCATTAAAGACGATTCCATCCACATGAATTGAATCGGAAAGGGCATTTTTGGTAAATAAGAACCAGATCGAGTGATTACAGTATTGACCATCTTTGCTTTTAAAAATCTTAATACACAATATTATTGTAAATTTTTATAATATGTTTTATTTATTTAAAAAAAACAAACAAAAATTACCCTTTAAGTTAGAAGTTTTATCTAAATTTATTTTATTTTTTAAATTTCAACTCAATTCAAAGAATTTGTTATTGTTGTATGCAGTTTCCGCCAAACTTTAATAAATTTTTTCTATTTGTGAAAATTTCTACATAATTCAAAAGTAATTTTTAATATATTTTTTACACGGCATTATGAATATGATTTTGGAAGTTGCAGAACGTATTAAATTACTTTTATTACTTTTAAAAATGAAAAATAATTATATCATTTGATTTCAAGATATTTTGTATATCTTAAAAATAATTAATTTTATCCCAGAATGCCGAGACAAGCAAAAGATCGGTAAATGAGAAACACTAGCCGAAACCGTAACAAACCTTTTACAAAGACTCAACTGTGAATGCCTGTATGAAATATAACCAAATCAATCAAGACGAACAAGTAGCTTTCGAAAATACTGTATTATGTTTCAATTGATTTGGTTTTAATTTTAATTTATTTATTAATTTTGATTATATTTCTAACTATAGTTTCAGTTTCTGTTTCGGTATAAAAGCCAGAGTTTTAATTATTAGATTATCTATATATATAAATGAGGATGTTTGTTCGCTACAGGAGAAAGCCAATACTAATTTGAGGTGGAGAGCACATATTTTAAATTAAATAAATTAAAAGTTGCAGTCCGGTATTGTGACGATGTCATAGTAAATAATTGCTTGCCATAATTATAAATTAATATGTTTTCATTAGGAAAGATTTTGATGTAAGTATCATTTGAAAGTCAAATACTTGCATGGACACAGTGTTAAACAGAAAAATGTGTGCTCTACTCTATCCAGACACTGCAGAATAGTGTCAGCTCAAATAGAATGAATGGTAAAACAAAATTGCTAGATCACTTAACGGGGCAATTAATAAATGCAAGTAAATGGATGAATTACGGACAATTTCATACCATAGACATCTGTGTATCTTATCAAATTCTGTATTTGCATAATCTGTTTTTATGTAAATTTTCAGTCTTGGATGTGAATACAGTATTTTAATTTTAATAGTAACAGTTTTCTTCCCAATCTTATCATCCCATGAGTTTTTACCAATAGTTTCAGGTAATAGTATCTGAAAGAATAGGGCTGAACATGTATGAAGTGCATATAATTCAAGTACACAAAGTGCTGATGCAGAATGAAATGTGGCTTTTAGAGTCAGATCCAAACTTCAATCTATATCAGCAAGATCCAGAATAAAAATTCAAATGAACAGTGTAACATTATATTTCTGTTGTTGCATTAGAATTATTTAAAGCAAAGATGTGATTTGAAATGTAATGATTCTAGCCATATCATTTTTGTAAACTTATAATCGGCATGTTTTGGCTACGCTGGGATTAGGAAACAGAGCTATTTGGATACGTTTTCGTAGAAGTAACAATACGAATTATTATTATTATTGAAATTTATAAATCTATTGAATCCTCCATTTCGTTTTCATTTATTAAATTTATGACAGACAATAAATGGAAGCAGCAGAAGCTAACATCAACTACGAAGTCGTCGTCATTTTACAAAACAAACTACCGAACAACAGTTCTTAGAGGTGTAGACGATTGATTCAGTAGAACTACGTTACGAGTGATATCACAAGCGACGAATTTGCCTCTGACGTCACGACGAAAGCAATTGCTTCGTTCGCTCTGGCCTTAACAACAATTGTAGTATAAATGAAATAGTTACTGATTTTAATAAAATTAATAGTTATTCACAAATTAGTAACATCAAAGTATATTATGAGCACGTATAAATAACAGAACGCGTTCCAAATGAACATTTTATCTAAAATATCATTTTTTTATTTGCTATTACGAAATTTATAACTTCAGAAATTAGTACTCTCTAAGCGGCCGGATGGTCGAGCGGTCAAGGTGGTAGCCTATCACTCTGGGGGACCCGGGCTCGAATCCGAACGGGTCGAAAAATCCCCAGGAATCTTTCGGGGATGGTCCGTTCGGATATGTCGGGCCCCGTCCTTCACCACCCGGCAGCATCATTGTGGGCCTGGCCGAACCCATAATGGGCTTGCAAAAAGAGGCCCTCTTAGTGCCCACAGGGCGGAAAGAGTTAAAAAAAAGTACTCTCTTATAAGGAGAGAAAACGACTCCGACGCTAAACGACGCCACACGAAGCAGCGCGACGTTACGTGTGGGGTAAAACGGAAAAATATCGAATTTATTTGCTACTGCGAATAAATTGCGAGTGATTAATCTTCGAATATAATAATTGGAACGAATTTTCCGATAGTTAATGATAATATATCAATTCGGAAAATTCGATTGTTTTTAATTGGCAACATGCCGAGGTGTCCATTTTAAAGATGGCGGCCTGCTTGTTTGCAGCATGTTCGGTTCGAGTCGCCAAGAAATGGTTGCATGCGACGACTTTATCATTATCCGGAAATTCTCACATTCACGAAGGAGATACTGCTGAGGAAACTCGATTATTTACAAAAGATGATGTAGAATTATTTTCTAAACTAACTGGAGATTTTAATCCAATTCATTTAAATGATAGTTATGCTCAAAAACAGAAGTTTGATGGAAGATTAGTTCACGGTGCTTTAATTAATGGGTAGAAATTTATACACTATATATTAGGAAAAACTAAATTATATCAAATGTCATTATACTTTTCTCATCTCGTAAATTAATATACAGTTAAAATTAGGAAACGTCCACAAATCGTGTAACCCAGTAGAAGGGGTTAAGTCATTGGCTATCATGGGACACTATAACTGGACAGGAGGTCTAAGTTTGTTCACTTGGCCGAATTTCTTAAAAATTGTTCCGAGTTGCAGTATAGCTATGTGTTAGAAACATGTCATGCATGTGGATAGTATTAGCAGAAGTGGGTTGCAACATGCTGAGGTGCTCAACGTGGGACAAATCGACGACAAAAGAAACTGGATTAGTTAAATTAATAAAACAAAATTAAGTGTACTAATCCGAAATAAAATTAATATTTTGGGACCGACTGAGCACTTTTCCGAATGCTTGTTGAAACTTTCATACGTTTTGGTGATTATCTGACCTAGTTTTCAGCAAAACTTGATTCAAACACATTTCTTGTTAAACTCATTAGTTTCATGACTTGAACACATGCCTACACTGTAGCTTAACTTACTTACAATTGAGTCATGCTGCCATCCACTGCTCTGGTTGTAGGAGATTATAGTCAAAACCCTCCATGGTTGCAACATTGGTACTATTAGTAATTCTCCATAAAAATTTGCCCTGGATATTTTTGATCAGCCCTTGTATATCTGCTTTTTGTATTTTTTTCCTGTTTGGGGAGTTGCAATAAAGATTTTGTTATTCTTCCATCTGGTGTTTAAATTTAAAAATAAAATAAAGGGATTTAAGGGTCTAGCTTTAGTCTGTATGGTTTTGGGGATAGAGGTCACATGTCTAGCCACAAAGAGTTATAATGAGCGAAGGGGGTCAAAATTTGCAAAATATTGGGCTATGTGAGAAAATTCTCATAAATATTATATGGTTTTTTCACAATTTGATCATGTAAAATTGATAAAAGTAATCTATTGAGAAAAGTCTTTTAGTAATAATACACATAACAAGATCATTTGAATATTTATTTAAGTCTGGATTAATTTTGTTATTTACTACATACACATTACAGATATGATCATACCCATCATATTTAGATGCATATGAATGTAGAGAGTAATTCTTCAAATTGAATTGATAGTAACTTAATAATTTTTAACAATTGTTGGCAGTTGCTTCTTACAGAACTTCAAAAATATATCTTTAAGAATTTTTTCATTTTAAAATATGCAATATTTTTAGAATCGATNTTTTATAAAAACAATTTACTCCTTTTTTTTTAAACTGTAGATAAATATTCTTAGGTAAATCATATAATAAACTTGTACACATATCTGACTTGTGAGATGAATATGTGGATTATTGTCAGAATATAATACTTTATTACATATTAAAAAATCTATAAAAATATGCTTTTTTTTGGTCATGTTTTTTGAGAATTGGTGTGGATGATGATGATGATCATGGATGGTTCCACCCCACCCTATACATCACTACAGTGTATTTTCACACACAGGGTTGGCACTACCATTTAGGCAAACTAGGCAACTGCTTAGGACACAAGCCATAAAGTGGTGCAAAATTTTAAGTGATGCTTTATTCATACTTCACTAAAATATTAAATTAAATAGTGATATATGGTTCAGGTACCAATTCTTTTCCTTATCCCTTACACATCACACTATTTTACTCTTGGTTCTTTTTAGTTCCTTACAATTTACATGAGGAACTTACTGCTATTTAAAATTCAGTTAAGATAAATATTTTAAAATGTTACGATTTTAAAATATTAAATTTCAGTATTTTATAATTTTTTTTTTTCAAAATGAATTATAACAGAGAATTTTCAAATTATTTAAAAAAATATAAATGGCTCTGTATTTAGAAGAATTACATATTGTATATTACTTTGTACATTATTAATAAAGCATGCCAAAATAACTTTTATTTTTTGTTTAAAATTTCATTTAAAAAAATATCTAACTTGTGAAATAAGAGATGTACTTATAAACTTTGCTTAGGGTGAAAAATAACCTTGGCACTGGCACTGGCACTGGCACTGGCACTGTACACACATTTACACTGATTATCAGGTTCAGGGTGGAGCAACCTTCTAAAACATTATTACAATGAATTGCTTGACTTACAAGCTAGATTTGTCCTCAAAGTTTCAGCCTTCTATCTTTATTAGAAGTGAATGAAATTTGAGTTGCAAGATTTGAATACATGATACAAAAGAAGTAAAAGTGTTTAAAAAAGATTTAAATAAAATATTAATTTTTATAGTTGGGACAATTTTTAAACAATTCTCTATAAATTACATGGTTAATGTATGATAAATTATTAAACTAAGATGATTTTGCTGAAAGTGAGAAAGTAATTTTCTACACATTTGATATTTGTAAATGTTTAGAATGCATCATGTAATATGACAAAATACTTTGAGATAAAATTACTTATAAAACCAATTAATAATGACAAAACATTTTTAATATTGCTCTTACTATTGCTTGAACATCATTCTTTTTCTCTCTCTGATCAGTTTTAATATTGCTCTTACTATTGCTTGAACATCATTCCTTTTCTCTCTCTGATCAGTTGGACCTTGACATGTTAGTCTTCCAAATTATCCTCTTTTGAGTTATATTGTTAACTGTAACTTCTTTAAATCATTCCTACCTTTAATTTTAAACTTTTTTTGGCCTATCTCTATTTTGCTTAGCTCCTTTTCTAAGTCCCTGATTTGTCTAACCAATTCATCTCTTTTAACTATATGTCCAAGCTATCTAATCTATTTTACATAAGCTTCTCTATAATATCCCTTATCTAAACTACCCCTTATATGCTCATTCCTATTCATATCAGCTAAGTTAATCTTACACATAAAAATGAGCATACTTATTTCTGCTACCTGCAACTTTTTACCTGATATTTCTTTATTCCTCAACATTCTGATCCAAACAGCATTGCACCTTTACAACTGTTTTATAATTTTTAATCTAAAATCTTTGATCCTTAAATTACTTAAATTGCTCCACTATTTTTTGTTTCCTTATAAGCGATAATTAACCTACACTTTCTCCTTATCACTGAAGTGAAATTGTACGAACTTTATTTTCTTTCTGTTAATCTTTATCCTTTGCTCTCTTCTATCCATAACTTTTTCTATCTCCTCCATCAATTCTTCCTTATCTTCACTAATATTGTCTGAACAAATCAATTAATTTTGCTTATTACTTTTTAATGCCATTTACATCAAAAATGACATTTAGTTTGATCTAAATTTTATCTAGGATTTCATTAAAGCAATGAAAAAGATTGTTTATTATCTTTCTAGATTAATTTCTTGTTTATTGGGCACCAAATTACCAGGTCCTGGCTGTGTTGTAGTTAAAGAATTATTAGAATTTCCAGCTCCATGTTAGTAAGTTTTTTTTTTTATAAAATAATTATTTATTTTGTTTTCATGTATATTGAGTATTTTATTTTAATCAAGATATAATTTTAAGATATATCTTGAACTAACATCTATATTATGTAATATTTCATTTTGAATTATTCTGCTTTAATTTTGAAATATTTTGAAAAATATGTGTTTTAATAAAATGAAATTTTATATGAAAATTAATTATAATCTGGAACAATAAATATATATATAAATAACAAAATAGCCTTATTCAAAAATGTAAGTTATAAATGGTTATAGCAAAACTAAATAAATATCATTTATTAGTATGTATGAAACATGTATCTAGAAATTGTCTTGGTAATATTGGAGTTATACATTACTAACTCATGTTGTTTTCATGATATAGTGTCTATTAAATTTTATGTAAAAAATTGATTTGTAAAAGTTCGTTAATACTTAATAAATAAAAAATGAAAGAAGTTACATTAATTGACATTTATACAGAATTTTTATTTTGCAGTGTATGTAGATGAAAAAGTGGTGGCAAAAGTTGTTATAACCTCAGTCAGAAAAACAATTGTAAAATGTTCTTTCAATTGTTGTACTGAAAATGGAAAGGTAAGTGAAGATATTTCATTTTATTATAATCTTTGAATATTTTATTTTAAATATAGAAATTAAAAATTTATATTTTTATATACAGCATGGTTCAAAAGCAATGGATAAAACTACAGGGTGATCAATTATTCAATTTACAGTAAAAAATATTAATATATTCCTGTCCAATTCCCAAAGATAACCAATGAGGTTACAGAGAAAAATCTTATTTCAAATCAGTTTACTTATTCAAATCAATTACTATTTCAACATTACCTAGTACTAACACAGTTCAGTATTTATTAGTTTAGAAATGGGTAATGTTTATTTAACACTTCAAATTTATAATTTTATTTCAAATTCATTTTCCAAACATTGAGTGTTTTTGAGCATAAAAAACATTATTGTTTGCACACTACTAACTGTAATACCAAGTGTCACCAAATATTGCAAAAACTAACACTTTTGCAAATAATTGTGACAGCAGTCAATTTATTTGTTGTTTTTCAGTGTTAACTAGACTTAAACTGTGAATGATTTAAGATTTTCTGTGTAGCTCAGTTATCTTGAGAATCAGAAAGAGTTGAGTTAACAATTTTACTGTAAATTGAATAATTTGTCACAATAACATAACACAGTAACATGATAAACAACTATCTTTCAGTATTAAAACACTTGCATAAATATATTTCATAATTATTAAAGTACTTTCAACAGTGCATTATGTCTACATCAGACAAAATTTTTATAGAATAGAATATCAAACAAAAATTTTTTAAATTAAGAGAAGTGAAAAAGTTTTTCTCTTATGTGCATAAATACTTAGCAAACCTCTAGTAATTTTTAAAATTTCAATTAAACACAAAGGAAAGCAAATTGATGTAAAACAAGCTTGTAATGGAAAAGTTATAAGATTGATAACTTTTTAAGAATTATAAAAGTTAAAATTATAATTTTAAATTTAAACTGTCTTGTAGTACCATAGGCAGAAACAAAATTTTTAGAAATTTAAAGAGTGACATCTAGAAGTCTGGGAGGTCAAGGGTTGATCCATAATCTTACGGGAGTTCATAGTTGTTATATATAAGGATTCTTAGATAAATATCGTTCTCCAGTGTCTGTGTGTAATGAGACACTGCATTTGCATTTACTTGAAAATTTGAATGTAAAATAACCATTAAAGTACTTGCATTTATATTTTAAGTTTATTAAAGGGTTTTAATGCTGAAGGACAGTTGTTTATTGTGTTACATAATTTGGCATCAAATTTGTGTTCAAATTTTAGTAATTTAACCTAAAAAAACAAATCCTGCATAATATCATAAATATAAAGGATATTTTATACTTTAATCTTTTTGTTGGGCTGCAATTTGAGAAAAATTATAGACCTATAAATTCCCACTGTCATTCATATGTTCGTCCCTAATCTCGAGAACAGAATAGATAGATGAAATCTGAGACCAGATATGAGACCTTTGTGGCAGGAGGCCCCAATTGACTATATATGAACTTCCAGTTTGCACCAGAAGTCATGTTATTCAATTTAAAAGTTTGCCCCTGAAAGCAGTTAATAGATGATCATCACGACTCTAAAGTATGATGTACAGGGGCAAGCCACTACTAATTTGAGGTGGAGAGTATATATTTTAAATTAAATTAATTAAAAATATAATTAAAAATTGCAGCCTGGCATTGTGACAATATCACAATAAATAATTGCTTGTTATATAAGAATTTTAATTTTGCTTGTTGAAAGTAAGAACATTAAAAATTTAATTGAACTTTTTTAAAATAGGAAGTGTTAAAGGGAGAAGCAAAATTATTGTTGAAGTGATTCAATTCAACTTTATACTTGTTTAATAAACATTTGAAAGCTGAAGAAACAATAAATAAATGCGTAAATCATAAGAATATAAATAAGTGAATTAAGATGTAAGATTATTTTATTATATAATTATAAAATTGTTAATATGTAAAACTGTATATAATGTTGTAAATTGTCATTTGTTTAAATTGATAATTTCTTAATCATTTTCATATTTCATAATCAAGTTTTATGTTCTTAGTAAAAACAAATTTGAAATAAATGTAGAAATAAAAATGTAAATATTGTATTGTAATAAAGAGTACCTTTTAAAATTATTTAAGTTGAAAGTTTATTATTAAAATTTTATAATACTTTCTAAAAATGAATTATTTCTTTATACCAACATAATAATCATAATCTCAATTAATTGAAATATTTTTATGATCACATCATTAGATAATGTGTAACGATATCTCTTGTTTCAATGCAATTTTCAAAAATTGTAGATTCATGAATTCCCACTGGTGTCATGTGTATGTCGGTCCATTCTTAATCTTGAGAACAGAGTTAGATAGATGACTGGCATGACTCCATTGTTAACAGGAAAAGTATGGTGTACAGGGACAAGATACTGCTAAAATTGAGAGCAGTGTGACAAAAAGTTGCAGCCCAGCATTGCAATGAATGATAATTTGAAATAAACTGAGAATTTCTGTAAGATTATATAACAGTTTTAAATTGTTAAAAGAGAAAATTATGACCAAATAACAACTGACTTAACTAGATAGCTACTGAGATATGTAACGATATCTCTTGTTAACCATAATTTTCTATAGAAAATTATGGTTAACTAGATAGCTACTGAGATTTAATATAATTTTCTATAGAAAATTATATTAAAATATATACAGTATTGATATAATTATTATTAAAAATAAAAATAACTGTTAATGTAATTATAAAATGTTTTTAATATTAAAAATTTGAATTTAAAATAATTTAGTGAAATTAATAAATAATTGATTAAATAGAAGTTAAGGAAACTAAAAAGTGACATTTTAGAGTCCATATCAATCCAAGATATAGTAAAACTGTTATATAAAACTATTTAAAAAAAAAAAATTATAAAACTGTTGAAAAAATGGTCTGTGGTGTTAAGATATGTAAGCTGCTTGACTGTTTTATCAACTGTTTATGATATAAAGAAGTAAAGAGTATTAATGTGTTAATGCACAAGTATCTGTATTTCATTTATTTGTTTATATAATTTAAGTCTCTAGTTTCTAGCAGTTCATAGTATACTATAGAAACATGGCAGGTGTATAATTAGTAGGTTAGAGGTGTGTTGATGAATTATAATTATTATATGTTACCACAATAGGTCCAAAAAAATAGTTAATCTGACAAGGATTTGGAAGCAAGGATGCCAGAAATTCAGTGGTGTACCTGTATATAATAAAATTCTTTAGATATTTCTTTTAAAACATTTTAACTCACAATTCATCCAGACAGTACTGAATCCCTTTAGAATGGATGCCTAAGCAAGACTGAACACAGATACATAGAATAAATACCCATCTTAAGTGTTAAGTCCCACAACTTAATTTTACATGTTTATTTCTTTGAATTGTGTTGACATACTAGTAACGTGCAAATGTCTGATAAAAAAAAAAAAACGTAAATTTCAAGAATGAGACAGTTGGACATGATTGTTATAAATGATGCAAAAATATTTTTACCAAAATAATGGAACTGGGGAGAAAAGACGGGTTAGCCAAGACCACAATGGGGGGTAACCAAGTGATATGGTACAAGGTCCAATATATCCAGGATAGACATTCCATGAAAAATTTGTGAGGTTTTCAACTGCTCAGTTTAAATCCCAGGTCCTCAGAAGAGTAGGCTTAACCAACTTAGCCATCCAGCTGTCAGCCTAACAAATCTAGGATGAATCACCCATGAAAAATTCCTAAGGTTTTTGACCCAAAGCAGAACCTGGGTTTCTTTGAATAACAGACTTTGACATTTAATGTCTTGTTCATCTGGCCATCTCAAATAGATCTGAAGTATCAAAATTAAAAATGCTCACACAACACAAAATTATCTTTTTCAACTCTGTCCCATAAATACAAAGAACTTTTTATTAAATAATTGATGGCCCTCCATTATGGATTTTGGTCCAGTCAAATCCATAATGCAGTAGCTGTATGGTGACAGATAGACCTTACGTATCCGAGACAGACCATTTCTCCCAAAATTCCTAGTTTTACAACTCATCGAAATTTGTTTCTGGGTCTTCCAGAGTTGTAGCTGATATCTTAACCACTCAGCCATTTGGCCATCATACACAGGTTAAAACATACATTCATTAACTCAATTTTTACTAACATAACTGGTTTGATATTTGATTTTTACATAATTTTGCTGCAATTTATATCTAAATTATAAATATTTATGCAAATATGTGTTTTTTAAAGTGACATGAGATTTTTTTAATCATTTTTTTATAATACCGTACGGTCAAACCACTATTAAACAATAATCACTAACGGGAACATTAAAAAAAAGCCATTGTTGGAAAGTATTGCAGGAACATATATACTTTATATACTCGTGTTCTCTAGTGTGCAAAGACATGTTAAAATATGTAAAAAATAGGAATAATTTTCTTTGCGCACTGTGATGACCAAAAATTTTCTTCAAATTCTTCTTGAAAAAACCTAAAACATGAAAGTCCCTTGTGTTGAAATTTTTTAAACAACACGACATAAATCGACCTTCAACATCTGTGTTTTCAGACTTTGTGGACACACGGTCGGATGGCCGAGCATCAAGGTTCCAGTCTACCCTTCCGGGGAACCTGGGATTAAATCCGGACGGGCGAAAAATCCCCAGAAGTTTTCGGGGGGGGACCGTCCGGATATGTCAGGCCTCGTCCCTCACCACCCAGCCACCTCATGTAGATCTGGCCGAACCCATAATGGGCTTGCTAAAAAAGGCCCTCTTAGTGCCCACAGGGCGGAGAGTCCAAATGAATAATAAAAACACAACGCGTCGACTATCCGACGATCACATGCTTCCCATTCAGCAACTTCAATAAATTATTTCATTTTAAAATATGCAATATTTTTAGAATCGATAATTTAAATTAAAAATCATTTTAATGAATAAAACAGAAAAATTATTATTTTTATTTAAAATAAATACGTAATTAAATTTATAATTAGTTGCGGTTTTAGAAACTTTTTGGCTATTTATTACGTTATTTGAGATTTGGCAACACTTGATGGAAATAGTTCTCTGCCATCATGAAAGATTTTACTAAATCTACGATGCATAAGACGTAAGTTGTTTTCCAATTTATAATCCTGCGTTTACAGACAAGTGATGTGTTGTATGTAAATTATAATTTTTGAATATAAATACATTAAAATTTATTAATTAATTTCTTTTATTGTTACAAACATGTATAAACTAATAACGTAATAGTTAAGCTTCCTATTCACATTTTTCGCCCTCTGGTGTTCTAAAACCCAATTATTGTATCTGGGTCATTTGTATCAAGGTCCATATCTTGATCGAAACATGGTACAGTTCCACAACCACAATGTATATGCAGTCTCTTAACTCGCAAAGGCACAGTTCCAGTTTGACCAATGGAAACATTGAGACAAAGTCGAGAACTGTAATGTGTTCTCCTCCTCATAGTTTAGTTTCTTTTAATTTATCTATAAGTTGTAAAGAATTCTTGATGCTAAAGTTGTTCCTATTAAGATGGTCTTTTAATACATTATGATTCCCGACTTTGTCTTGATGTTTTTGTCAGTCAAACTGGAATCATGTTTTTGTGAGTTAAGAGACATTTCATTTGGGATTATACCATCAATGTATACTAGAACTAGCCCACCTCCTATGCTACGCATCGTTTTTTAAATTCAATGACAATTCCTTCCTACAAAAAAGAGGAATACCAATGGGCAGCACGCTATCGCTATCCATAATATCCTAACAGTTTTTAATGACAATCTGTGTGAGCCCACAATAAAATTGGATTAACAGGAAGCAGCTCACTTCTTAGATGTACAGATACTGCTATGGGATAATGAGATGTATGCTTCTATATTACTCAAACCTTCATATGCCTCCATTTTTATTTGTGCCACATCATGTGACCTGCCTCGATACAAGATGGCAGTGTTCAGTTGGAAGAGAGCTTTTATGCATTGTTCAAACATATCTGACACCAACAAAGAGCTGAAATACATTACAGATGTTGCTAGAAGACATGGCTTTAACAAAACTCTAGTGCCTGTTTTGGCTAAATGGTTATATAACAGATGAGAAAAACAACATATGCCTTACAAACAATAGAAATTGGGCAATGCAAGAAGCAAACAGCAGGCAAATTGCAGTAGATTTCCATTCTAGTCTGATTGCTATGTACATGTACAAACAAATAATTTGTTATACCAAGCACTCGGTGGTTTTCAAACATAGCCCTATTATATTCAGACTCCTCGTGAACACAAAAGATAATTACAATATTAACAGATCACTGGGAATCTACTCTATACCACTGTGCGATGGTAGATTTAACAATAGCCTCGTGTATATATATCAATGGGGCATGGATGCAAAAATTGACCAAACATAAATATGACATTTCAAAGAGCAAGACAACTACCACTAACACAATACACGATGGAGTCTGAAGTGTGGGTACTATGGGAAGAGGCCAGATTGATTAAAAATATATTAAACTTGGATAAGTTGAGAACACTGGAGGCATGGGAAATATTTAAAAGCTTTAATAGGTAAGATGTCTAAACAATAAGGATGCTGAAATGACTTTCAATGCATGGAAAGTGCTTGTAGATCTGATACAGGGAGATATGTTTTAAGAGTTACAGTAGGTGATCGGTTAATGAACATAATCTGTTCCAAGACCATGTTTGCTATCCGAATTGTTCATTAACAATTATCAATTTACTGTCGATTTTTGTGAAAATTTGATTAATTCGTTCTGGAGACTCCAAAAACTAAATAAAAAATTATATACAGTGGAACCTCGGTATACGTCTGCTTTAGAATACGCCCAATTCGGAATACGTCCTGTTTGGACGAAACAAATTTTGCTCGGTATACGACTTTTGTTCGGTATACGACTTAATTCAATTATACGCGCCATCTATGAACAAGTAGCACTATCGGTGTACTACACTAGACTAGACGTTCGCGGTGCTACGGTTTATAACTTTGTTAAATTTCTTCTGATTTTAATTTGTAAGTAACATTTTATTATTTTTATTAATCATGAATTGCAAAAGGGCAACAGAAAAATAAAAAAATGACTAGAATCACAACGGAACTGAAAAAAGAGATTGTTGAGAAATATGAAGGTGGCACGCGTGTTCGAGATTTAACGAGATTTAACTGTTGCATTCCGTATTCCGAGAACGACGATATCGACAATCGTGAAAAATAAAGACATTATTAAATTTGCTAACGTTGCGAAAGGGGTTAAATCAATTTCTAAACAGAGATCGAAGACATTAGATCATGTCGAGAAATTGCTTTTGCTTTGGATAACTGAAAAACAGTGTGCCGGTGACAGCGTATCAGAAGAAATTATTTGCGAGAAAGTTAAAAGGATACATGCTGATCTCGTGAAAAATCAAGCAGAAACTAGCCAGGAAAGCCAGGTGTTTAAAGCCAGCCATTTTTTTTACATGAGAACGGATTAATCATTTTTACATTACTTCTTATGGAAAAGGTTGGTTTGGTATACGTCCAATTCGGTATAAGTCCAAACACCAGGAACGGATTAAGGTCGTATACCGAGGTTCCACTGTACTTTCTTACTATGTTTATTTACATGTAATGACAAACTAAAAGCAATTTTTCCATTTTTTCATGGATGACACATCTTTGTTTCTCAGATGCAATTTTCATTACTCTTTTATCTGCTTGAGTCTTTTCTTAGCTAAGATTATATCTACTGTAGACCTGTTGAAGTTATCTGCCCACTCTCTACCTTGGCTATTATCTCTTGCTTTGTTTCTATACCGAAAACAGTTCTTGACACTCCACTCTTTTTAGGTCTCATAATATTATCAGTTTTCTAAATAAAAAGTTCAGAAAAACATTTACAAAAATTCAGAAAACAGAAATTAACTAGTGCAAAAAAGGCTATGTATACAACTGTGAAAGTCTTGTTCCATAAATCATGTATAGATGCCATTAAAATATACAAATCTTAAATGCAGCCTTGCTTCTTGTGTTTGTTCTGTGAGGTGTTTTTTATCTAAACATGTGTTTGTTGTCTGAACATAAAAATCTTTCACAAAAGTGCTCATTGTCCAATTTGTTTACAGTCTGGTCTATTCATTAACCGATCACCCACTGTACATATGACAACATTTATAAGTTCCACAATATTTATTATGTTGGAGTCCTAATGTATAATTTTTCTGCAGTAATTTACAATGAGGTGTGAAAGTAGTTGTGTTTTGGTGTTACGTTTGATTATGTCATCACATAATCAAAAAAATAGATGTTCAATTAATTTAAACAGGGGCGACGCTGTCTGACTGTTGTGATTGCTGGCATGAATTTTTTTGCTCTCTTCAATCTGATTCACCTTTATTTACTTCTGGAAAAATGTCAGAGTTTTCATCTCAGAAAATAAAAACTTTTTTGCTGCTATCTCAAGACGGATTACCACAAAATGTAAGAAAATTAATTAGAAGCAAAGAAAATGTCTCAGGTGAATCAACAGAACAATTAATCTTGTCTTATATAAGTGTCGAAAAGTAGATTAACGTTCAAGAAGGAATTCAACTTTTGTTGAAACCACAAGCCTTTTCAAATAGTAAATTTAAAATACAGTGGAATCTCGGTATACGTCTACTTTAGAATACGTCCAATTCAGAATACGTCCTGTTTGGACGAAACAAATTTTGCTCAGTATACGACTTTTGTTCGGTATACGACTTAATTCAATTATAAGCGCCATCTCTGAACAAGTAGCACTATCGGTGTACTAGATCAGATTAGACGTTCGCGGTGCCACGGTTTATAACTTTGTTAAATTTCTTCTGATTTTAATTTGTAAGTAACATTTTATTATTTTTATTAATCATGAATTGCAAAAAGGCAACAGAAAAATAAAAAAATGACAATGGAACTAAAAAAGAGATTGTTGAAGGCTGCTATACACCATGGGTTAATCCTCAAAGGAGTAACCATGCATGCCTGATTTTGAGTCATTCCTGGATGTGTGGGGGGAAAATTTAACAGTTTCGGCGAACTGTACCGACCACCCGAGTAGAATCGGCCATATTCTCCAGGTTAATTCTCAAAGGAGTAATCATGCATGCCTGACCTTTATAATTTTTGGTAGTTTATGGGGGACAATTTAACAGCTTCGGCGACCTGAATCGACCACCTGAGTAGAATTGAAAAACCATTTGATTTTCCTGGCGCAGTGTCAGACTGCG